TTGGTCCGAAGTACATTGAGTTGGCAGCACACAACCATCTTCTGTCTGTACATCTTTCTATCTTTCAGCACATAATAAAGTGCGTAGCATCTTTACTAGTATCTACAATCAACTATCTACAAGCGCAGTTTTTATAGACTATACTCTATTTACATACGAGTAGCAGAGTCAGTATTGAACCCCTAGGTAACCTCATTTTATAATACCAAGCCCTCGTGTCGAATTTGATGCGTAGCTGAAAGCTATTTGTCCATTCGTTCTTGTCTTCGCATTTACATGAGACGCCGAAAGTGAGGCAAGATGAGGCCTGGGTTAGAGAAGAGCCCAATGGCTTAGATATCCATAGACTCAAGTTGCACAATAAGCTACATACACAACCTAGTACACCCGCTTTCAAGTAATCAAAATCCTCGTCGACTCACTTCAGCCCCTCTCTTTCCCTCCTTTGTAGCCTCCATCCACTAGTAACTCTCTGTATAAAACTTCGTCCCATCTTACGCTTGTAGGTGATTTTGCCCCTCTTCAGCCTTGATTCTCGCTGCTGCCATGGATGTTGAGAAGCGCCCTCGATTTACAGACGATTGAAGTCCTCTAGATTTGTTTTAGTGTTGGAATAACTCAGCTAGGGTAGTGTGCACACAAATGTTATCAGATTACGGGTTAGGATTGTTATTCGGAAGTATCTCCCTCTTCCTCTCTGGCTAAGGAATACATCTACAATTGAAGTTCTGCCTGTTACAGGCTGCGCCTATCTCCTAGTGACTGTCGCACGGACACTTATCATTATTACGTCATTAGCCTTGCTATCTGAAGAGATGTCCAACTTGGCCATACAAATACAGGGTTGCAACAAATATGGAAACAAGATATTGTTGCAGCAAGTCTCATATGGAATCATGGGCCGATACGACCCAGTTTCGCTATGACGAGCCCACTCGGAATATCAAGGATATGGTGTAGTAGAATAGATAGTGAGGTTAGCGCATTGGGAGTTGGGTCACCTTAAGTAGTCTCCCCTCGGTGGACAGTTCCGAGATGTATGTAGAAAATAGACAGTAATCGGCCACCATTCCTTTACTATATTGTTTTGTTGATCGCCCATCACACTGCCGAACTACGCTAGCTAAATACATCATGTCTAGTTACACCACCCACATGATATTTATACTGGTGCGTTTGTCATCATAGCCAATGTTCCAAACATTTAGACTCAATAATCTCTCCGCAGACTTGTTAGATGTTAGGAAGTATCTAAGGTTTATTTGGTGTTTGGATCACGTTTGGATATATTGGGTCCAATAATAGAGTACTTTGTATTAGCTAGTTGAACGCACGGTCCACTTAGAGAAGTGTTGTGATGTAATTATTGCATTTACTCTAAATTTATCTCTGCCAAGTGCCAGGGATACAACACATCTATGCGAGTACTGCACAGCCCTACATGGCTATCATGACGGTCGACTATTGAGGCGCAGCTCTTTACAATGGAATAGAGTAATGTGGGATAGTATTGCATGGAATTAAGATTGTAGTACTTCAAAAGACGGAGATGTACTGTATAGCGGGTACCAAATATGTGTATATAAGTCCTATCTACTAATGTGATATGTAGAATAACATAACCAAGCTATTCATCATATTGTCAAGCTCTGATAATCGTTATCCACCCTCTGCACTATCCCTAGAATATTCAACATCTCATACCTACTCATACCTTAATCACAACAAGAAGTGATAACTTCTAGGGACCGATGCTCGGAGGAAAGAATCAAGTTGTTTCTACTGAGTTGTTGATACCCGTAAATATTCTTCACCTGCTTCAGGACAGGTTCCCCAGTTTCCTGATAAGACTGTACTGTGAGACCTAGAAATTTATGGGAAATGTTGCTGGTAAGTGCCTATCCATTGTCCCCCTGTTATTTTCAAATAATCAGAACCTCTTTATTAGTGGCTGGGCTGTATTATAATGAGTCAAGCTCTTTGAAATCGTAGGTGGGCTATACAGACCGAGCCATCCGCCACTCAGCCCGCGTATTCTGGTGTTGAGCATCGGCACAATTTAAAGTTATTGAAAAGAGCCAGGAGAGGTCTGTTGTAAAAGGACTGATCACGATAGCTGTCCGCATAGGTGAATCCAAAAATAAAGGTTTATATTCTGTATAACGAAAGAACTACACGAGCTACACAATTGAGTATCTACAAAGTCTTACGTAAGTCACTTCAAGCCAGACTATCCAATGGTCACGTGAGCAATGGTTACATGTGGAATCGGATAAGTCCGATTCTAATCCTACAAGGCCCTAAGCATGTAACATCTGTAACAATTTTGCATTGATGATTGGTTGAGGTCTATCTTCTTTTGCATCCTAAAAGATTTTTATCATCGTGTATCAGAAATGGTTGCGAAGAGCTAGGATATGCTCTAGGAGGGATGATGTCACAGGTCACGTAAGGAGGCAAACGGGCGATGTCAACGCCGTCACGATATGGTTCGCTCGAGTATCGCCAGCAAGAGGATTTGGAAGAAGCGGCTTGGCTGTTTGGTGCAAGTAGAAGTCTGTGAATCATTATTTTAGCTTACCTTGTAGACGGAGCTACAAGCCTATTATATCCCTCCAGGAAGCGAAAGTATGAATTGAGGACCCACCTTCCATACAAAAAGATATTACGGCTTTCCTAAACCTTTCTTGTTTAACAGTGCAGGTAGGGTGCAAAAGTTTAATGACTAAATCACTTCATGGCGCTAGATGAAGACGTGTCTGGCTGCGACGCAGAATATGCTGTTGCCCAGGCTAAAAAAACGGAAGGGAGTCGTCGACTAAAGATTTGAAAAGCGATGCTGACGAGTGCAGGCGACACTGTAGACACCGCAATGGTTAGATGGTGCGGTGGTACATCGTCGTGGCCGGTCTGCCAAGTAGAGTCTGGATAACGAGGACCCATCCCATTCGAGGCAGAAGATCGCTGGTTCAAATCCGGCAAAACACAACCATATTTCTCGCGGCGCTGATATGCATGAATAACGAAGGAATTCTTGGATAATCAAAGGTTCTAAAACCTCCCTATGGTGGTTACTTAGGGAGAAGGGTCGGCTGTTTGTGTAAGAAAGCATATCTCAGGTTGGTACTTGCGAATAAAATCCAGGATCTGAGTGTTACTAACGTCAAAAGAGTCATCCACCATGTGTACATAGCACTGATCAAATTTCATAGCTATACAGCTGAATATACATTAAGTAATTTAAAAATAGGATTATCCATTTAATTCTATGAATATTCAACGACATGTAGGTCCCTTCTGCTTCTGGTTGGGATTATGTGTGCCTCGGGCTGTGTTTCTGTTGGAAATGGAGACACAGATTGTTATGGACGTGCGGACCCTCCATTTCGTCTAGGTTTGCGACACGATCTTGTGTGTATTTAAGAGGTTGGAATGGGTAGTATGGTGGCGCTTCGGCTACCTATTGGAGACATGAGCGGCTGTATGTGTTGTGAATATCATGAATCTGATCCAGAGGAGTCAGCTCACGGCGGGTGCGCGGTGCCCGACACGTCTGATATCTGGGATGCCCTGCCATAACGCAATAACAAGCGACGCAAATGAGTTGAGGAGCCATCGCCAAGGAGTGCCTCGTATCAGAACTATCATGTCATGAGTATTCATCTTTACTGGATTGTTACATGGTCAGTGGGCGATGCAGCTGAGTCAAGGAGCCACCACTAGGGAACATAGTATGTCCGGGGCTCTATGTCATGAATATACGTCTAGGATGTAGTGGTACATAATCGATGAGGGACACAGATAAGTCAAGGAATTCCCCGTCGGAGTTAGAGAGGGACTGTTGTGGTCATGTAGAGTGAGAACTAGCGAGACATGTATATAACAGAGAAATAACTCTGCAGGTAGATATTATCAATCAACCATTCTAATCTCCCATCTACTACAGTCTCGACTCACCTATAGATAGACCCCAACAGCTCACCAGCTTGGTCAACCAATAGTATAGGTATGTCTCTATCCACTCATAACCCGGTTTCATAACAGTATGGCGTGGGCATAAGGAGGTTATTGGGGGTTTTCTATGCCTAGATGGCGCCACACTTGTTTATGCTGTGGCTTAGGCTATGTGTCGCTTACACTTGTACTTGTAGCGCAATCTTCCCACACTTTTAGCTGTAATCCCAACGTGACACTCATTTAGTCAACTTCTACTTTCGTTCCATAAATATTGCGCGATATTTCCAACAATCTCCTCCTATGACTTCTCGATGACTTTTTTTCCAGCGATTATACCGATGGGAGAGAGTGAGTCTTTGCGCATGATGGGCCAAGCAAAATGCAAGCAGTGATGATACATGGGTTGACTGGAATTGTGATGAGTATGCTTCAGCTTGAATAAGCAGTTTTGAAACGCTACGAAGATTATGAAATAAGTCTTACAATTTAGGCACTCCTGAAATTTGATAGCATAGTTCGGAAGTGACGTATCTAATTGGTCATCCATACTTTAGACTTGCGCAGCAAATCTACGAGAAAAAGAGGGCCTCGAATTCCAATAAAACACCCGCTAATCAACTGCCTCTGGAAACCTGGTGCAATCATCACTAATCCGCTCGAACCTGGCTCGAGCTCTACGATCAACTTGATGAACTAACTCGTAAATTAAGACCAGCCCATATACTCAAAGTTTTAAACCTGGCCCAAAAATCTCCAAAGAAAAATAGAGTCCCGAATTACCTATTATCTGAAAAATGACGACTTTGAACTTTAGCGACTAACCAATTGAATCCACTGTAAGGTTTTTTCTAATATATTCCCATCATGGTTACTTGTTAGATATCGAAAAGTCAGTATCGTGCATCTTGAGAGGTATCGACGTTTGATACCTATCAGTTGAAGGTAGTAATATCCCATTCATCCATTATAGAGACTCTGGAAATTCTAAATAATTGTAGTTTATGCTCTACGAATGATGTAATCCCATTACTTTCTTGGTCTGCTCATCTATGAGCCGTCGCACCCCTTATTTTTCCCACTGCATTAGATGGAATTAGGATTCCAAGGTCTATTTCTCCAAGTTGTTTAGCAAATTGGGCTTGCATATGATCCGTATCTCTGAAATGCGCGATGGGGTTGAAGTAGGAATTTTCTGGAATTCGGAGATGATAGTTGAGTCTAATGGATAAATTAGAATAAGTTTTAAAAGTAAGACAATAGTGTTGAATTATTAAAGCGAAAATCTTATTTCCGTTTTGAGACTCGTGCCCTATTTTGGTTTCAGGGACCCAGGCGCTCAGCACAGTTTCAAATATGTGTAAATGTCCTTGAATCCATGCCATTCCTCTTGCACTAGATCTCGGAGGCTGAATTAATAAAATTTTACCGTTTAAGACCAAGTCCTTTAAATTGAACATCTTATTGACATTAACATTGAAATATGTGCTCCTTTTCTGCGGAAAAAAGTTACTGTATATCCCATAGATAGAAGTCTCATCCATATAGGTCAGGTAGGCTAATGTATCAGGAGCACATATTCTTTCGTTGACCATCGTTTGATTTACTGAAACTTCTCCCCTTTGGAGAGGAATTGACTTGGAAATATGATTTAAACAGTAATCTGCATTTTGAGGCACGGTGGAAAACCCATTGTGGGAGCAGTGTGTTAATGTTGGCAACATTAACGCGAATCTTTGTACTATTCCTTGACTCTTCATGGCGTATGAACAGTATAGAGCGACGTGTGTACCCAGGACTGTGACCTTGGTCTTAGTTTTAAATATCCTCAAGTGCAGTGGAAATGTTGGGAATTGGTAGTTATCGGGCTTGCCGTAGACGCTGTAGCTGCCTTCCCCATGATCATTAGTCGCAAGAACTAGGCGGTTCATCGACAAATTAATTGCCGACCTAATAAGAAGAATCGCGACAACACAGTACATTGCGCCAACGCGATTGAGAGTAGTGCTTTTTATCCTGGAATCAACAAGTTGTAAGAGCTGACTAGCGGTAATTTTTCTCAGGGTTTTGTTGACTCGTCAGGTTCTTAGATTCAACGTTGTGGTGGTGTTTTGGGAGATAATTTTGAAAGACCTCTCAAATCATCTAAAATATCACAATATTCAGGCACGTTGCTATGTTCCTGTCCTCCAATGAGATTCCAGTGGTATGACTTGTACAAAATTTCGAGGACTTATCCTAATATTATAAATCATTTTGGGGTAGAGGTCCGGTGGAGCCGGCGCAGATCAAGACATCCTCGTATTTGCAGCATGACGACTCGAGGGAAGATCTTTGGTGATATCTCTACGAGTCAGGCTGAGTGGGTTGTTTATTTCGCGGTATAGACGAAGCGTGCAGATAGTGACCCAGCTTCAGAGAGAATTGAGAATATATGGAGCAAAGAGCGATGTATCGGATGAAGAGATCGTTTGATTATGGCTTATACCTGAAGTCGAGAGTTTGCAACGATGGATAACGTTGTGTTCGTGATTGTTTTAATTCTCTTGGTGATTTGAGATTGATATTGTGATAGAACCTGACGGTTCGCGCAGCTGGTCAGCCTCGGGTGCGCAAGAGTCATTTTCTTAAATTATTTAAAGTGTTTTCAGTTGTCTAACAGTGAAAAGTATCTTGTGTACCTAGTTAATAGCTCCTGCCTTCAGACACTCGTGCCTTAGACTTCATTCGCAAATACCTCTATGAGGTGTGTTAGCTCATACTACGTACCTGAACCCTTTCGAGGCTTCAGGCAAATAATTATCGGGTGTATTTGCTTAACCAACGCCGACAGTTCTTTTCCAATCCCGAATTCTTGTTCACGAACTTGGCTGTGCGCCTAGGTATGAGAGTTCTAGAATACTGATTTTGCTACTTGAGGTCAATGACGTTGGCTACGAACCTTACTATTTATGTAAGAATCTAATTAGCTACGGGGCGCCTTATCTGCCGAATTCTGCCCTTCCAACCAGTATTTCCTCAAAATTCCATTTTCCCCCTCTTTTTGCTACCATTAGAAGCCAACAATAGATTTCAATTTAGCTCTTGCGACAGGGTAGTGAAAATTTAGGGCTTCAAACTCTCATTTAGCCCTTGATCATGTCCGGCCTAAATAGAAAGATAGAGAAACTGCTGGTACGGTTATTATTCCCAGCCTAGCTCATCAGGAGTTCGAAAACGCCATTGGATTCGGAAATCAGACTATTTGTATGCGTAGCTCGTTCAGAATTGATGAAACGCCAATCGAGTGATAGAAAGTTCATGGGTTCATTTCTCTTATTACACGCCCCAACCATTGAGAAATACTTATGGCGCATATCCTTCTCGAAACTCGTCATTAGTTTGTGCCTCGCCACTTCATTTCTACCGTTCTCGCTTGGTTTCTACTGCGATATACTTCCTACGCAAACCCCGCAATCCTTCTGAAGTGTCCGGGCTGGAAAAATGGGCAAAGTGTGGTGGGACTCATGCTCCATCTTCAGTCGATCATGTGTTTCCCTCCCAATGTTATGAATATCGAAGAGTTACACTTGGGGATCCATCCTTTGGCTACGTAGGCGCGCCAAGTGCTTTCCTAAAGGCCCAGAGGCCAGGATTACACCGCGAGCCAACTTGGCATTTAATGGCAAAAATAGCAATAACTTGAGAATCCATGATGCTCATCAATTCGTACTTAACCGAGTAACGTTCTCTTTGGTGGTCCGATCATCCGTTGGTGTAAAATTTGTCAACAGGGCTCTGTTGGTTCACGTTCAAAAGCGCGGTATTTGTGATGCTTAACGCTACTTCAATTGCCCTCTTAAACTGATGCACATGTGTGAAAGAGGGAATTTAGTTCTGCAATTTCTATTCACGTCAAATGACCCCATAATATACTGACCAGGCCGACATCCCAGTTACTTCTAGGATAATCTGAGCACCTATTTATTAAATAAATGAATGGAAGTTTATTCGTGACGGGCACAAGCCCTGCACACAAAGAGCATGACACAGAGAAGACTAGCTTCTCAGACAACAATATACGACGATAACTCAGTTTAACATTTGGACTGCTCATGTAGTGGGTGCTGTTGCCGGATCAGTCGATGTTGGTTTTACAATGTATAACCCACTACTTAGTTTGTGGGCTTATTGGTAGAGGGAAGCTTATGCAATAATGAAGGATAAAAGGATGTCAATTCGACTATTCTTCTAAACATAGGTACCTGATTCCTTTTAATTCTAATAGATAGCCCTTGCAGGATCTCCTATTAACAGCAGTAAACAACGCTAACATAGGAGGGCAAGACTGAACATCTGTACGCGGTGTCCTCTACGAACCTGAAAGTGAAATATTCTCCCAGAGCCAAGTTCAGTCAAATTTCGGAATACCGAACAAGTTGGCCCACGAGGCAATGATTCAAATTACTCTACCACGTCAATTTTTCATTAGCAAAGAGATCGAATCCTACATAAGCCTCATCAAGTCTACAAGTACGACCCAGTACATCCTCAATCCAATGATCACACCTCTCGTCGACCTTCTCTGGCCTCAGCTCGTCACCAAATACACGCCCACGCCGATAATTTTACCCGACGGAGGGAGCAAAGCGTGGCGCACAAATCTGGAAGTCAGTTATTTAGAATGGACGTGAGAGGGATAAGGAAAAGTTAACAAGTTGATGCGACGGATGGATACAGTCTCGACGGGCGTGGAATTTTGAATTTTGGCTAGGAGTTTTTACAAATTGAGCTTTGTGCGTGCCAAGGCTTCGGTTGCGAGAGTGCAGGCGACACCATAAACACCGCCATGGTTGGATGGTGCGGTGGTACATCGTCTTGGCCGGTCTGCCAAGTAGAGTCTGGGTAGCTTGGAAACATATCCCACTCGAGACAGTAGATCGCTGGTTCAAATCCAGCAAAATACAACCACATTTCTCGCGGCGCCGGTATGCATGGATGACGAAGGCATGTTGGATAACCAAAGGTTTTGAAATTCCCTTTGGTGGGTACTAATGGAGGAAGGTCGACTGTTTGTGTAAGCGAACATACCTCATAGTGGTATTTGCGAAGGAAATCCAGAGTATGAGTGTCATCAACGTCAAAAGGGTCATCCAACGTGTATACATAGCACCGGTCATGTGTTACAGCTTCATAGATGAATACATTTAATTGGTAAAAAAAACCCCAACACAGGGTATACGCAATCTTTGTTCGCCAAACACTAGTCTGACGGGACTACTAATTATCGAGCCTAGTATGATCGACAAAGTGTATCCCAACACAGAAATAATAGAAAACTCAACAACCAAACCCTTCATCAATTCGAGAAATTCGAAAATTCGAAAATTCATTTTTTCCCTCTTTCCTCCCTTCTCGACCTCGTCGCATCTATCTCTGAATTGTGATCGAGCTCAGGCATTTCACCATGCCTCCAGTTCGCAAAAAGCGCCCCAACGTCAAGTTGGACAACACGAGAGTCCACCCGAGGGCTCTCGAGCAAGTACCTGGCCTTGCCCAGTCTCCGAAATGCGCGGAGATGAGCAAGGTCTCAATCAAAGGGAAGGAAAAAGCCCTCCCCGCCGTCATTGAACCCGATACTGACATGATCGGTTCAGTCGAAATTATTGAGGAAATCCCTCAGAGACCCTCCGTCCACCACGGGATTGGAGAATCGTCTAAATCTCCCCCGACCGCGCCAAAACTGTCGGAGAACGCTGCACCCAAAGCAGCGTCAAAATCAACGTCGCAGCCCAAAGCTGCCACGAAAGCAGATTGCCCTCCGGAACTTCGACCCATTATCGAAGCCGAGCAACGACGTGCCGCCGAAACAGCGGCAAATCTAGCCCTCTGCTCCGCCGCCATCTCTGGCGTCGAAGTCACCCTCCTTCCTTTGACCAACGGGTCAAACAGACAATTTGTAGACTCGATGAGAGTCTACCTACGCGCAGCCATCGCGCAATACATGGCCACGGGCCCGGCCTCCACGCCACCCGTCCTCCCTCCTTGCCCGGCGAACCCGATCCCAAGGGCTCCCGACGTCAGGAGCACAACGATTTCCGCCGTCCCAGCGCTGCCTATAAAAAGCACCTGGGTCACGGTGGCCAGAAATGGACTGCAACAAAAAGCAGTCCCAACTGTAAAGGCTGTTCCGCGACCTGCGGCAAAAGCCCAAAATAAAGAAGCTCCGAAGGCTAAAGTCGACAAACGACTGTTCCTTCGCTTAGAGAGCGATCATCCATGGCGCCAGCTTTCGCCTGACGGCATACGGCATCAATTATGTTGTAGGCTACTGTACACCTTGAGTGAAAAAAGCTCTATACACCGTGTCAGAACCGGATTTGCGATTCTGACAGCGGATGAAAATGAAAGGGAAGAGCTCTTAGATGCCTCACCGAAGTTGTCGGACTTCAATGCCAAAATCGAGGAAGCCTCCAACCTTGTCGCCTTTCGGATCGCGAATGTTCCAGCGACTATAAAATTAATTAACCGTATTGAGACGGTCGATGCCGGTAGGATCTCACTGGAGATTTACCGCAAAACACAACGACGTCCATGCCAGGTGCGACCGCAAGGGACATGTCGTCCTGGAGCGCCATATAGAAACTGGTATGCCCTTTTCAACCGGGACTCCGCCCCTCGTGCGGGCTTCCGAATTCTCGACGAGTCCGGAGCGGCTACAAAGATCCAGCCTCGTCGCCAAATTGAACAGTGCAAACGCTGTTTGGGCTTCCACGCCACCCGTGGTTGCTCCCGCGCCCCAGCGTGCTGGAACTGCGGATCAAACATGCACTCGGAAGCCGAGTGCAAGGCCCTCACAAAGTGTCGCAACTGTGGGGGACCCCACCGATCGGATTCCCGGGACTGCAAAGTCAGACCCAGAAAGTCTGGACCGGTGACCAAAGAGCAGCTCGCGTGGATCCGCCACATCGAACAAGGGGAGTTCGCGAAGGTGGCACGAGCA